AGAGTTCAGGTCAGGTCATTGGCCTTGCAAGGCCCATATGAGGCGATGGGACTACAGTTGTCATCTTGTTTTGGAGGTATGCTGGAAATGATAAAATGGAATTAATTGATTTGCCATTCTACATGCCAAGCCCGCCTTGCGGCATACTACGTAACGGATAACGAAGATTGAAGGTTGCAAGGACGATGCATGCAAATGGAGCATTATTATCACTATGTAGATGGGGCAAGCGAGTTCTTGGGGCCCCGATGAATCGAGTAAATCAAGCTCCTGGACGCGGTCCAGTAAGGTCAGTGGCTTTGAATAACCTTCTCTCACCGGCAGCTAGTCCCTGGTTGTTTTTTTTTTTTGCTAAATGGGATCAATAATATATCAGTCTTGCTTCACTTTGATCAAAGCACATTTTACAGAAATAAGTTACAAAAACTGTTCATCGGCATGAGCCGTGCGCAAGTTGAGCTACCTCTGGAATGGCACAGGATGACCTGCCACGGGCTGCCGATGCGCTACTTTATGAACGGGACACAGATGAAGTCCATTTTGTCTGCTTCTTAGTGTTTTTTTTTTATCGCCGATTTGCGAAGTTCTGGTACAGTATCTATATATTTTGTTATGACTTAACCCAACTGCAGGCCATTTTTGTGGCCTGGGAGATAATCCATTGGTAGAAAAACGGGTACCAGTGGAGAGTTTGCACGATAAATGTTCTTTGGGGTCTTAACCACATCGTTCTATCTCGCTCAGTTATTAGCTGACTCTGGGAGGGGGCGATTTGACGATTTCTATCGTATCGTAAAACGACATCGCATGTATCTGTATCTTTTTTTACGTGCCACCTGGAATTTTAGCCGTCAGCATTTAGTCACGTACATAGGTATAAATACATACCACAAATCTGGTACGGCGGCGTCACGTCACGCTCCCCCCCCCCCCCCCCCGCGTCGAAGGGCGAGTGTGTGTTATGAACGCCGCTGGGATTAAACAGTGGCCATCAAGGACGCATGCCTTCTCTAGTTGACTCTACGACTGTTACCGGATCGGCAGCCTTCTTATCGGAGGTGGATCCTGAAGCTTGCTCTCTACTTCGCCGACTCGTGGTTTGCTATGCACGCGAGATCAAAACGTTTGGGCAGTGAAATAGTCACTGTCTAATGTCATGAGACGATGAGCTTCGATTACGGGTATGAATTTTATGGTTTCACGGGTATGTAGGTACTTATTATGGCAAATTTTATGTTTTGCAGGTGTTGTAATCTCTGCTTTAAACGGGTGAAAAAGAGAACTGCATATATATGCCATCCTACCAATGGTGTGCTCAACAAATGGATCTTGTTAAAGTTTGCTATAGGATCTGGGAAATAATGACAATTAGTCCTCATTACCCCTGCCTCACTACCCCGCGACTGCAATGTCTCAACGGAGGCGTTCGGCAAGCTGCTACTGATACAAGCAATTTTTCAACATGAAGCGTGATTGAACTCAGTGTGCTTCTCATACAACAGGCAAGCGGCAATAAGACATGGGTGTTACTAGAAAATAATATTTCTGTCACGGGTTGTCATCAAATATTTTTAGAGAGATTCTTTTCCTGTGTGTTAGTAGCGACACAGTATCATAAACTAAATATCATATTCGTCGGTGGCTTTCCAATGACATTTTATCTTTCACCAAAGATCTTGTGGCGTCATGGACCCCTTTGGAGGATTATCTTTGCATTCTTTTCACGGGCATATACGCATGCGGAAATGAAAAGTGCAGGAGACAATATCCATGTAAATCAGAATGGTAAACGCCATGCATGTGTTAAGCAGGAGATGAACAGCCGGAACATTCGAGGCAGACTACGCTAAAACAGATTCGCCACAAGGCCAACTCCAGTCTAAACGGCACTGGCTTCTTCAATATCGTGCTTAATGGTGACATGATTACAATCCGAGGTTATATCATTCTAAGCAGGGGCCTGTCATGACTGCAGCCGCTCCAGACACGCTTCGACCGACCTGTGACGTCAGAAAAGCTATGGAGTAACTGCGCCGGGATTTCACTGTCGCCGTCCTTTGTGGCGTCCATCTGCTCACGCGGTATCAGCACACTACTTTCGATTTGGGCAGCGCCTGGATTTGTGCGATTGGATTCATTTGTCATCACCCCTGGCGCTGGAGCGTCGCATGAGCTGTCAAACCGGTATCCGGAACTAACGCTTTGTGCTCACTGAAGCCAGATCTCCATATAGAGAATGTTGTTATCAGCCTCACATAGTTTGTCTTAAGCCTGTGCACATTGGCCTTCGTCCTGCGAGCGTTGGGTGGTGGGGGCCGGCATCCGTATAATTTGCGTTGAACGAATAAACTAAAAGTTTGAATGCACGACACCGTAGACCCGAGAACCAAGCACCGACAACTGGCAGTTCATCACGGAGGCAGGCGATTTTGGCCCCGGTCGGTGGTGATGATTTGCACAGCACAGCTGCGCAATGAGCCGTCTTTTAACATTGCAGACCGCCGTCCCTGCGGGGTATTGACGATCACTTTTCAAAGGTCCACCACGTATGGCGTCAAACCAGGAGTGTATCTTGCTACACAGTTAGCGATGCAGCCCCCGGCCCCCCTCCGCCACCACTGATCAATTTGACGTTAGCCGCCTAAAACCTGGAGCAAGAAGATTAAGCTCGCGAAGGCTTTTAGGCTCTAAGAGATGAAGAGGGTAGTTTCAGTTACTTGCAGTGCAGACTCACAAAGTTCACATCAAACGGTGGTGACAATTGCCTGCATCGCGTGCACACCACTTGCTGCTTATTTTGCTATTGGAACCCAGTCAGAGGTGCAGGCAGGCAGCAAAGAGAGCCCGAGCCTCTCCCTCCCCACCCTCCCGGGACGGATCGCCAGAGGCCCGATCGAAGGGCCCAAAGAGCCAGCTGGAGGCTATTCAGGAACTCTAGCAATCATGACAGGGCCCTCAACCATCAGTCGCATGGTCTCTTGCGCCGATACAGGGTAGCCCGTGGGACGATACGAGCGGTCAGAGCTCACCATTATCAAGTCAGTTCTGTCTCAGTTTGGACCCTGGACGCTAATTTCTGAGACGGACTCACTTTTACCACTGAAGGCCTTTTTGGCTTACATTTCAGCTAGATAATGCAACAAGTGAACATAGAACAAACAATACTGGACTAACCGACATAAAATGGCAAAACCCAACGCATCTTATTTAAGGAGGGCCTTTTCACGAACATGGGACCTTTCCTCCAACCGATGCCCCCTCTCCCGTACTAAGACTGGTTGCACCTCTGCAGCTAACCGGACCAGTGTTTTGCTGTTATGCACGCGCCCCCGTTCGTTTATGCATGAGAATGCATGCGTGAAAAGTTAGAAGATGCCCCATGGATGAGAAACTAGAAGAAATTAGCGTGAGCAGACCTGATGGACCTGGTTGGACCTGGTTGGACCTGATGGACCTGATGGACCTGGTTGGACCAGGCCTGCAGCCAGTCTTGCTTAAAGCAAGGCTGATCACATAAAATGCAGCAACTTAGCTGGGCCAATGCTGAATACATGGGATGCATATATCCCGGCGCCGGTGATGGTAACTAGGCGCTGAATGATCCGAATGAGCTTTCATCATGACCAGCCGTGTGATGAATCTTATCTTGACCGAAGTGCGCATAGCATAAACACTCCTTAAGTCTATTTACATGCTGCTGAAATGCTCCAGCTGGCTCATCCATTCTCTAACATACCCAAGATGTTTCGAACCACTCCGGTACCGTGTCTTGAAATCCTGAAAATTTGTTTGGAAATCCTCACCCAACCACATTGATTTTAACCTTGCTTTACGGCAGGGTCTAAAAACTGGCATGCGGAGCAGACACGCTCGGTCTCCGAAACAGCGCATCTGATCGCCTCGAAACCCTCACCTATCGATTTCGTGCAATGATGTGAGTAATAGGGAGGCAGTATTAAGACCTGATCTGACGTCAGGTCTTATCATTGCCTATATAATATATCAGGTCTTAATATTGCCTAAGACACATAAAAACGCGAGGGAAAAATTTAACGTGTAAAAGTCGACAACCTAGATCTCAAAGCTTACCACACCGGCCGCTGTAAAAACTTTACCACTGGATGTATCATACCAGATTCCCTCTAACAGTGGAAATTCGGCGACCCTAGGTCAGGTCAAAAGTCGTCAACTTTAACAAACTCCAAAATTCTCGCTTGCAAAAAACTCAGTTCCCAGAATCTAACGAAAAGATTGCTGCAAAACCTTCAGCATTGGATCATCACCATCATAATAAATGCTCCGCGCCAGAAGCTTCATCAGCTTGTTTCAATTGCGTCCAGTGTACTTGAAGAAAGATCAGGAAGAGTTCGTTCTGGTTCACGCGCCCGCGCCATTTTGAATTAATTTGCCGCTGAAAAGAGATAATGCCATTACCAAGATACCTAGTTGGCATTGGAACAAGCCTTTTATTTTGGCACCACTGGTTTTCGGCTGTAATATGAATCATCCCCTCTAACAAATGCCCCAGCTGTCTTCCCTAAGCCTAACCTAGAATGCATGTATTTTTATCACGATATCGCCTAGACAGGGACAACCGTTTCCTGGCGTGCTTCGGGATGCTCGTTTTTCGAGATTGGGGTAGGCTACCCCAATCTTGCCATAAACCCCGGGTAGGGGCACAATCTCTTTGTACCCGGATATGTAGTTTCCTGTTCGCTTGTGGGGCCTTCTTGAGCCGTCCCCAGGCCAAAATCCGGGGAGGAACCCGTTTGTTGACTATTTAGGCGTAAGTTATGGTTTTTTTCATTGCTCATCCTCCACCAACGCTTATAAAAAACTAAATTCCTGCCTGCGTCCTTTCGTTATCAGTCTTGACCCATGCGTTGGTTATAACTCGACTGTCCTGGAGATGCGTTATCATTAAAACACAGCATTTTGCAGAAAACCGTACTACTTGTGAAAGCAACGCCATCTAGCAGTGAGTTCTTGCAAATCTAGGGCCACGTCAATTTCGTCTTCCTGGCGCCGGCTAGCTCTGTTACATTCGGGGTTAAAGCCTAAAGCCGTACAATGAATATTTTTCGACTTGCTGGCGACCTGTCCCATCTTTTAGCTATCATCATTTTGCTGTTGAAAATATGGAAAACAAGATCATGCGCAGGTAAGGGATGTAATTTCCATACGGCCTCAACCGCTGCGATTGCCTCAAGTTGGTTATGAGGGAATAATGTCTGTCTCGCATGCTTTGTGTTGTTGATAATTCACGTCATAATCACTTCGGCTCTAACATCTTCGTAAATATTCTTGGGTTGTTATGAGTTCAGTATATAGAAGGTATAAAACAATGGATGCAGCTAATGGATTGTTAATATTGTGCCAAGAATGCTTTTGCAGTTTGTTTATTGAACATCATTTTTTGTGTCAAATGTGATGATGATGGTTTCAGGCTGCTCCTCTGCAGGCTCAGCATATGTATGACAAGCCTGATATCAGTGCCAAAACTAGAATGTGGAGTCAGCTAGCTGATCATTGTGATAGTGTTCTTGCACTTTGTGTTGTTGGCTCTCAATTTGCTTTCCATGTAGTTTTACCTATCTGCATTCTGCTGTAGTTGGTACATGAGGCAGGAGGTAAATTATGAATTGCCTGAAAATGCACATATAGACATTGAGAGAGATGCCACAAGCTGTACTGAATGAAAACTAATAAGACACTGTGTAGTGCGGAAGGAATGAAGTGATGACTGATAGCAGATACACTGTTCAAAGGTTTTGAAGTTAAGAAGCTTAGGTTGTCCATACCAAAAGTTTTAAATACCACTTATGCTTGGCATGTCTCATTCATTTGAGTGTAGCAGGCAGGTACCTGCAGGTATAGGTAGCTTTGGTGTGCTAAGTCGCATAACCATATAAGCTTGTTAAAAAGTTACTTGTTTTTAATATTGACTCATGATTCCAGTGCATAGTAATGCATTATGACTATTTAGTATTTGGTGATTATGATTGAAACCTTGCAAATATATATTGGTGGTGGTTGGCTTCAATCAGTGAATGAATTTATAAACACTTCTGAAGTGTTCATGTTCTCCTTGGGTTAGACCATTGCATGCAGCTTTGGATTTTGTTTCCAGAAATTGCAGCATCAGCCACTTCCCTATAAATGATTGGTGCACCTGCAGCTCAGACTGCTCTGAGATCGGGTGCAGGGCTGTAGCTGGTACATTTGCCCTGCACCATGTACCCAGTCTCAGGTCTTTGTCTGCTCGTTTGTTGAGATGCAGCTGAAATATGTGAGAGGCCCAAAACAAGATAAGCTATGTTTTGCACATAAGAGTCGGTGATGTTCTTTAGTCTGAAGGCATTTTTTTGTGAATGTATGTCCTATTTTTGAACAAATATGGAAGGTCAAAATGAAGAGACATTGCAACATTGCATTTGGTCATGCCTGATTTCATCCCTGATTGGATTGGATGCAAACATACTTTTTGGATATGACCCAGCTCATTGTGGCAAATAGCATTGGGTTGTGATCAACATTTATAAATATGTCAGCTTCATGAAGGGGTATAAACTGTGCTGGCCCACTTAGGTTCAGGTTTTTGCCATAGTTTAGGTAATGTTAGACTGGTTAGTAGCATTGTCTGCATTACATTGGTGGTCATTAGGCAGTGCAAAGTAAAAACATTTTAATCTCAGCTTCATTCCCATCTCAAAACATAAGTGTTACTGGTTGCTGTCATGGTTGTGGGAATGTGCTTTAGACTGCAGGACAAAAGCATTTAGGGCATGGAGGGTCAGTCATTTGATGGGGCTCATGGTTGGAAGAAAGCAATACAATTTTTTCTGTTAAAGGACTATTATTGAAATAGCAAAAACAAAATTTGGCAAATTGGAGGGCTTTTTCTGCAGCTCTCCCCTCCCCTTTCCTACATCCACAGACAAACCTAAACCTATGATCACAATTACTTTTGGTGACCTCCAAAACCTGCTTCCATCAGCAAACTGGCTTCTGTTGCTGTCACCAATTGGTGATGTCCCAGGCAGATCAAGATCAGTGTCTGGACATTTTATGGTGAATGTGCCAGCTCAGTCTAACTAACCAGCTTTGGTCAAATCATGGATGGGGTCAGATCTAGTTGTATTTCAAATCTAACCAGGAATCATCCCGCCAGAGTTGTTTTAAAGTGTCTTAGTTGCATTCTAAGTCATCAGTGTCAGTCATCTGAGTTACTGCTTTCTTCGCTTAGCCTGGGCAGATGGAAGCTCATGAGGTTGAGAGGCTTCATTTAGAATCAATCCAAGTTCATTGTACAATGTGTGCAAAACTGTGGCCTTTGCATTGCATTTAGACTAATGAAGCTGAAGTAGTACAAATTATGTATGCTGACTAGCTTCAGCTTGAGACAGTACAATAATTTCTTTGTGATCCATTCTCTTCATTTGATTAGTTGAAATATGCTGTGATGGAATCCTGATATGTTGGCATAGTGCTGATAATGTGGTCCATGCTGCTCTGGATCACAAATGCACACATCACCACTGGGTAGGGCTTACATGAAATGTGTGTACTTGAAATTTATAATAAAAATCATGAGCTGTTTTTAAATAAGCAGTGGCTTTGGCAGCCTTTAAATGCATCCTTAGAATACACAAATAAATTTTCCTTTTGAATACTGGCATTATGGGTGAACCTGTCCTGCGACATTTCCTGCAGGCCAGGCTGTCTTTGTTCCTTGAAGCTGTTCCATTCCAACTGCAGAGAGCTCACTCTGAAAGCATTTGGCCTTCTGACAACCGCACACCGAGTTCGTCGTCTCGTGTGAAGGCGCGTGTCCTGAGGGCCCGGTCCGCACCGCAGCAGCGGCGGCGGCGGCGGCTGGACGGCCGGCGCTGGCTCGCGGCGGGCCGGGTCGGCCGGTCCGAGTGTGCGCCGTCTTCCGGGGCGGAGCGGGGCGCGGGCAGGGGCGGTGCGGGCCGGGCCGGAGATCGTCGGACCGACCGTGGCGCTCGGTCTGCCGTTGAGTCGCACGCGTCTTGCCAGGCACCTGTGGGCGGGCCTCCGACACGTTGGCTGGGGGAGGAGGAAGGGTAGGAGAGCCTGATACAACCTGATCCAACCTGACCTGAACCTGATCTAACCCCGGTCATCTGCCGCACACCGGATTCGCTCTCATCATCGGAGTTGGATCAGATCAGTGATCAGTGATCAGATCAGTGGAGCAATGCTGCATGGATCACTAACAGCGGCGACAACCCACGATTTCTTTGTTTCATTGCGGCGATTGCCATGCCGATTTCGGCCGTCTGACATTGTTGCTGCCTTAAGTTGGAACGCCTTCACAATGTTGTCATCTCGGCTGGATCCCGCCTGCCGATGGCATGGCTTGGGGTGATCTCAAGTCCACTGGGCATGACTGCTCGTTGAACCACCGTGGGTCGCGTGATCATGCGTCTTGCCTGCGAAAAAAGACGTGGCCAGTGGGGCTTGTTTTTGTTAGGGGCAGCTGCGGGCGCCGGACGGAGCCGGGCACTGGACCGAGAGAGGAGATAGGGGGGAGGGGGCACCGCCGCGGCGCGCTGGCGCCGGGGCCGGGGCGTGCCCTCGGCGCCTCCAGCTTGACCTGGGTCTTGTGCGACGCTCGTGCCCTGCTGGAGTCGGGCCGCCGTGTCCGACAGATAGGCCGCGCACCCACCTCGCACTGACCCGCGCTGCTCGTCATTGCCCTAATTTGTTAACCGCTCCGAGCCTGATCCGTGCGATCTTCTCCGCCGCGTGCTGTCGGCGTCCGCTGCGACCGGACCGGACCGACCCCGGCCGCCCTCCGTGCGCGGGTGGCCAGGGCCCTTCCCCACGTGCCGTTCTCCCATGTGAAGGCTGCAAGTTCCGCACTGGAAACCCCGGCGCTTGTCGCCAGGCTTTTCGTCTGTCGGTCTGGAACAACTGATATTGCGCTGAACTCGAGACTCGACCGCCAGCGGGATATGTCGGCGGTAGAAGTAGCCATTGTGGCTAATATTTCGTAATATTTAATATTTTTATATTTATAGTGACCTATTTTACTACTAATATTTAATGAAATATACCAATATTTCAAGTGACCGGTACATTCAGGCATCATGCCACTTTTCAGGACACTCCACAATAAAAACAGAAATGAAGACAACGATCACATTGCATTAGATCATAACACCCAGCACACAAAATGAAAACATCTCCAAGAGCGGTATACGCATGCGTCAAGGCGTGCACGAGTTTCACGTATCATTTGACCTGGCAGCCGATCGTCTGTGATGCGTGGCCGTGGCTCCGTTCAGTCGGCGAAGGTGCCGCATTGATCGGGAGTGGTCGCCTCCTCCGCCTGACGCGAGCCGTCTGGCAGCCGCCAGTCGGCTGCGCGACGGTGGGCCGCGCTGGGAGGTCTCACAGGCGCGCGGGAGCGCAACGCCGGCCATCGTCCCTCCTCGCTGAGAGGCGCGCTGTGGCCGCCGGCTCGGGCCGGCTCGGTTCATGTGGTTATGCCGGGTGCGAGGGCGGTGGGGTTGGTTTGGTCGATGTAAAATTGATGCAGCTTGCACGTTTTGGTTTCCTTATCTTTTTTGGTTAAATATGTGTTATGAGAACTCTGTGCGTATGCAGTCTGGGCAGGACAGCTGAGATGAAAAGAGGGCCATTGCAGTGTCCGGTGTGTGTCTGTGCAGAGGACAGGTAATCGAGTCCGAGCGTTATCATGCGCACGGATCCGACTGCTTGTCGAGTGCATAAGTAAGGAGCCTCAATGAAGCTCATTCTTCTTGATGGTATGAACCAAAATGTGTGAGCTTATCATGTCTCCCAGCGGACGTCCCTATGACATCCGCCTCTCTTTCTCAGCAGATGCCTCCAATGACGCGTATGTCGTCGAGCGACGGCAGATATCGTTCTTTGGCGCCTGTGCGTGCGTCAGCAGATACCCTTCATGGCATACTGTCTGTCGGCAGGCACCCCTCATGACATTCCGTTCGTCAGCAGACACCCCTCATGACATGCCGTTCATCAGCAGGCACCCCTCATGACATTCCGTTCGTCAGCAGACACCCCTCATGACATGCCGTTCGTCAGCAGACACCCTTCATGACATACTGCTCGTCAGCAGACACCCCTCATCCCTCAACCCTCACTGTTCGTCAGTCGGCGACATGTCTCGTGACGTAGCGTGCCGTGTGTCGGCAGGCATCTCGGGCCGGTCGCAAGTGCTGTTTCTGGTGACGTACGTGGCGCGGTACCTGGACCTGCTGACCAACTTCGTGTCCGTCTACAACACGACCATGAAGGTGGTCTTCATCGCCGCCTCGGCCGCCACCGTCTACCTCATGTTCTTCAAGTTCAAGGCCACCTATGATCACAACCATGACACGCTGCGGTCAGTGCCACCTGCTCGTGCCCCCCACCCCTGCTTCAGGGTGGGGCCGGCGCGGGAGCCTTCCGACCGGGTGAAGTCGACGGAGCCTTTCGTACGCTGCCCCTTCTACTCGACGCCACCTGAAAGCTCTAGCAGCTTATCTTCACCCCGGCTGTTGGCACCATCTGCGAGCTATCGTATAGGGAGGGAGGGAGGGAGGGAAAGCTGTTTCGCCCCACAGCGCCACCTGCGGGCTAAAGCAGTCTAAAGCAGTAAAGCAGGCTCAGTCTGAACTGGCCGACGCTGCCGGACGTTTACTTTGTTGTCGGCCCACCCTGCCGTGCTGGTGCTTCACGAGGCTTGCGCGTGCTCGTCGACGGCCCCTGCGCCGCGCTCGTCGCACGGCGTCTGACGGGGCGCCGCTCCCGAGGCGGCGTCGGGGCGCGCGCGCAGCGAGTGTGGCCAACGAGTGTGACCGGTGCCATCCGCCGCCCGCAGGGTGGAGCTCCTGCTGGTGCCCACCGTGCTGCTGTCGCTGGTCGTCAACCACGAGTTCGCCCCGCTCGAGGTCAGTGACTCCGCGAAGAGCCGGGGAGCCGGCGCCGGCCCCCCGGGGCAGTGGGTTGGCGCGGTACGTCGCGGCGCTGGGTGCCGTCGCAATCGGCGCTTGGGAGGGGTCATGGGCGTCTTTGAATGACGCTGGGCGCAGTGATGCTGCTGGCAGGGCTTCGCCAACGTATTTCTGTCCTCGCGGGATGTCCTTACGCTCCCCGATGGAGCTGAGCCCGACCGGTCCTGGCGAGGCCGGTCCGTTGCATAGTGGTCGGACGACACACGGTATGGGGCAGGCAGATGTGCTCACCCCAGTCGTTTTGTGCAGGGACTTGGTTTGTGTTGGTAGTGTCAGGTGACGTGAGCTGGCTGCTGGTGTTTCTCACCCTCGTGCCAATGTGCAGAGAGGCTTGTGAGATATCCAGGATATGCATATATGCAGCTTTTGAGAAGTGGTTATGGGGGTGAAGATCATCATGACGGCAGGCTAGAATCGATGTTTTGGGATTGGGGGGCTCATTTTGCTGGGTGGTCCCGCTCCGCCATCAAGAAGGATCGGCGGCCGGGCGATAGCAGCCGATGCTTCTGCCGGAAACAGCGTCGGTCTTCGTGTTCTTGTTTACGGAAGCAGGTTACAGTGAGTGCTTTGTTTCGCGTGGGTGAATTTCAGTGCACTGTGATGATGATTTCTGAGGTTTTTGTGCGCCCCGACAGTTGCGGCCATTTGGCGCTTAGTACACAGTTGCACTCACCAAACGGGTAGACAATATGGCAGGTGCCTCGCACCGGGTCGGCCATAGCGGAAATGGATGTCACATTCAAAGGTCATCGCAAAACTCCTCTGCTTTGAATGAATGGGACTAGCTGTCACTTGCAGTGACTCCAAAAGTGTATTGAGCCACACACGGCACGAAATGAGCCGTTTTCTATTGTAGCTCGGCTCAAAAGCCGGTCGGGTAAACTGCAATATCATGCTTCGATAAAGAGGTGCGTTGGTTAATAGCCAATCAGAGCAGGTATTCAATAAACTAACCGTACTCTGCATTGGAGCCAGGCTTTTGCTGATGACTGAATGGGATTGGTCGCGTGAACCCAACGCTTAGTACGTGTTTGCTGCTATGCATTGGAGCGTTTTGATTAACATATTGCGAGACAGCATATAGGATGGAAGTGTGATAAATAGTTTTGAGGAGTGGATACCGGCCGCGTTCACGGCCGGCAGCGGGTAGCGGTCCTCAGATCATTATGACGTGTGTGGGCGTCGGCGCCGGACCCGCAGGGGCGCGCCTGATTGCCGGATGTGTCGTCTGTCGGCGCGCAGCGTCCGGGGGAAGCACCTGACGCATGGCAATGGGCGTCACGCGGCGCGGCGTCCCTGGATCGCGCGACGTCACGAGGCGCCAGCCGTTCGGGTCAGGTCGAGAGGCGGGCGACGTCAATGCAGGCTCAGCCGCCGAGCGCGGCGCGAGGCGCCAACGACGGCGCCGGTGTCCGTTGAACGCCAGCACGGCGCGAGGCGCCAGCGACGGCACCGGTGTCCGTTGAACGCCGGCGCGGCGTGCGCGGACCCCAGCCCGACGAGCCGCGGGGTGTGCGCGGCTGGCGTCCCCCGCCCGCCGCGCGTGGCGCCGGCCACGAACGGTCTGCTCTGCGAGCATGCGTGGGCGCGACTGCGATGCAGTACCGATCGAGGCCGGCGCCTGGGACGCGCCGGCAGTGACGTCGGGATCCGTGATGGCGCGGTGGACGTGGTGCCCGCGGGGTGCCCCGGTCTCGGGAACTCGTAGCACGTCGTGTCGACGCTCGCCGCCGGGGACTTCTCCCTCCTTTTCTGCCCCCCCCCCCCCCCTCCCCCGCTTTCTTTCCTGCGCCGTTCCAGCGTGCGTGTTTTGGAAGGTAGAACGATTACAGGAAGATGATGAATGTATTACTTTCCCTCTGACGTTATCCCTGTTTTTACCAGCTGGACGCGATTGCCGTACTCTCTCTCTCTGACCTTATCCCTTTCTTTATCCGCCGGACGCAATTGCCGTCCAGCCATGATGGCAGTTCCGACAAGCGTGCTTATTGCCTGTTTCCAGCAGCGACCAATATCTGGTAAATTGGCTTCTTTGGCGTATAAATTCAATATCGGATTGGGGCCGCGAGTGACCCGGGAAAGCGCTTCTCTGCCGCAACCATTTCTGAGATTTGTTGTCGAACATTCATGTTGTGAATGTGCTACGGTGTGCAACATTTCAATGCATTCCGTGTCGTTCACGCAATCCGGCGAAATAGCTGCACGGTGCCGGGGCAGCCGCCAGACGGCGTTCGTATTCCGCCGAGTATCTCCCCGTCATTTCGCGCACAAAACTAGCCACAGAATAACTGCAATTCACGCACAGTGAAGGTCTTTCACCGTCAGTGAAGTCGTTTATTGGGTGCCACGTGACTACGCATCTGTGGCACCTGAGAGCCCAAATAGTCAATAAACAAGCGCGAGTTTAGAAGACAGCTGCGTGACCGGCACTGCCCGGTCTTCCCCCCCCCCCCTCGCTGCACGTGCGCCTGCTCCGCCCGAGCGTCCGCCGCCGCGCCCGCTGACGCCGCCGCGCCGTCGCCCGCCAGATTCTGTGGACGTTCAGCATCTACCTGGAGTCGGTGGCCATCCTGCCGCAGCTGTTCATGGTCTCGAAGACGGGCGAGGCTGAGACCATCACCAGCCACTACCTGTTCGCGCTGGGCTCGTACCGGGCCCTCTACATCCTCAACTGGATCTACCGGTGAGTGGCCGCGCTCCTGAACGCGGCTCGTGCTGGGCCGCGCGGCTGGTGTCCGACCGCTGGACGAGGGAGCGCTCTGGGCTAGGCACCACACCTCAGCTGGCTCTGCGGGTGTGAGCGGGAGAGGGGCTCAGCTCGCGTCGCGGGAAGCCCGCCAGATTGCCGGACTGTTCAGGACGGCTGGCGTTCGGCCATCTCGTCATCAGGCCGCGACGCCGCAGCCGCCGCGGCTCCGCCCCGCCCTGGCGTTGTGCCCCGTGCTGGAGCGCACGTCACGCCACCTAAACGGGCTGCGGGGCTGGAGCTGGAGCCCGGTGCGGCCGTGGCTTGGCCAGACGGTGGCCCCCTCCCCTGCCGCAGAGGGCAGCACAATCGGCCGCCCGGGCAGGCCCGGTCCAGCGACCGGGGAGGGGAGAGGGGTAGACGTGTAGCCATCCAGCGGCCTGAGGGTAGGGTAGGAGTTAAGCCGTCCAGTGGCCGGGGGTTAGAGCTGGGGCGTATTGGTCCAGCGGTCCAGCGCTCGTAGTCCCGTCCAGTAGCAGGTCTTTTCCAGCCACGAAGTGCGTCAGGGGATTCCTCGCGCCGTGCTGCCTTACAGAACGTGCCTTGGAGTGTCTCCTGGGGATCATCATGAAAACTCTCGTGGACAGGAATGCCCCGCGAAAGGTCTTACGTTTCTCTCAGAGTGGGACACGAGTTCATGTCTGAGTGACTCGCCTCGCAATGCGTTCAGCGCCTGTCGGCGTGACGTGGTGGCCGTCGTGTCCTCCCTGTTCTCGATGCCCATGCCCATGCCGAAGAGCTGGCTTCTCGGCCGGCCCGGCGAACTTGTCCATCCTGCGAGCAGGGTACGGCGCCCGCTGACCTGGGTCGCAGCGGACCGACCCGCTGACTGGCTAACCCAGGCCGAGAGGGCCGCCCGCTGAACTACGTCGCAGCGGACCGACCCGCCGGCCGGCTGGCCGAGACCGAGAGGGCCGCGCGCTGAAACACGCGAGTGGACCGACCCGCCGGCCGGCTGGCCGAGACCGAGAGGGCCGCGCGCGAACGGACGCCGTCTCAGGTCCGGCCGGCTGGCCGAGACCGAGAGGGCCGCGCGCTGACAGACGCCGTCTCAGGTCCGGCCGGCTCTGCTGGCGTGGTGTCGGGCTTTCTGACCAGCATGCGCCGGACGCGCGAGGAAGCGGCCCCGGAACGGCGCCTGTTTGGCGCGCCTATCACGGTCTGGCGCGACTGGTCGAGAAAGAGACGAGCTGAAACAGGGGCGGCACTACAACGTGCAGCAGCGCGCCAGAGCATGGCGGGAAAACGTCCGTTGAACTGAAGTAGCTTCACTGGGGTCAAGGCCCGTCGCATCAAACTGTCGTACGTCAGGCACGACACCCATGCACCCTTGCACCCGTCGGGCACGCTGACTCAGAACCATTCCTGCGAAACAAAACGTCATAACGTCAGCGTTTAAACAAGTTGCTGGCGGTGCTGCTCCTAGTCGTCTCTCCTTCCCCCTCCCCTCTCTCCGCTTCCGCCTTGGGCGTCGCGGCGCGTGGGCGGCGCCGGCCGACGGGGGCGGGCCGGAGTGCAGCGAGCGTCGATCGGCCGCTGGCTGAGCAACGAGGTCGTCGGTCGGTCCCACGAACTCCGCCGACGAGGGGGGAGGGGGCGGCGTCCCACGCGGGCGTGGGTCGGGGCGTACGGGTCAGTCGCGGGGTCACGCGGCGCGTGTCGGCCCGTCTGGAGCGCCTCCCCCACACGGGGCCGCCGCGCCGGGCAGATCTGGTGCCGTCTTGTATGGCCTGGTTCGGTCTGGTCCGATGGGACTGACTCTCCCAGCACACACACGAGCTTGAGAAAATCGCTCAACAAAATTAACGGAATCCAAATAAAACGTGATATGCGGCTGTCAGACCAGCTCAGGACTAATAAAGTTTCGTCTATGGCTACGCTTCGAGCTGCTCCACTCCGTCTGTTTTAGTGCGATTTGTCTGGACTGACTCGACCCTCCCCAGCTGATCCGGCTGGCGCCGCTCTGGTCTCTGTGGCGTTATCTGGTCGGCTCGTCTGGTCGGCCTCGCATCTCATGTGGTCTTTTACGGCGTCGTCTGTGTTAGTCCCTGTCCACCTCCCTGTCGCAACGGTGGTCTGACGTCACACCGTGCATCTGCGTCACTTCCACGCCTGTTAGCGGTCCTCATATCTTAGTGAGAAGACGATCATCTCATCACTTCCCGGTGAGCAGATGGATGACGCGACATCATGCTACACCGCGCTACACGCGCTCGCCGTCGCAAGCCTTCCGCCCGCGCCCACTGCTCCGTCATTCGTCGACGCACCCACCGCTGTCCGGCTCGTCTCGGCGCGCTGCCTGGAACGCTCCCGGGCGCATCAGCAGCTCATCTTCCGCGCCATTGTCGCGCGCGCCCGCCCGCCGCGCGGAGGACGGACGAGCGAGGCGGAGACAGGGCGCGGCGGGGCGGGGCGCGGCGGGGCGGACAGTCGTCGCCCCCGGGCGTGTCTTCCGCGTCGGCGGAATTGTGTGCCGACGGAAATCCCTTCCCGTGAGGGGATCATCCGTTCAGGAAAGGATTTCGTTCGAATTATCGGTGGTCAGCTGTAAAAAAAAAACTGGCTGTCGCATGCAGTTCCGCTCAAGGCCATTTCAGCCTTGTTTGGTGTCGCCGCCTTTCCACTGGTTTTTAGCTATTGCTCAAGACGACCCAAGTCCGAGATTGAAAAGGAAAGGGAAAGAAGGTGAAGTTGACACCGTGCTGCTAAAAGTACTCTAATTATTGAGGTCCTTAAGTGGCTAGCAGCATAGAAATGCTCGCGTAATTTAACCTTGTTAGGTGCTTGATCTATGCAGACAGCAGGCGCCAGCAGTGTTTGGTGTTATCTTTCCGTCACAAGGCTAGATTCATTTACATCTGGGGCAGGCTCCATGCTTCCAAAAACCATATGGAGATAACACGGTCATTTTATATAGCTCTGACTTGTTCTCATCTTAATTTGTGAATTGCTCTCGAAATTCTTGCAGAGAATGTCTCTTTCATTAAAAAATCATCGTCTGCCATCGTGCTGACCATCGTTTCATAATCAATCATCAAATCAAAGTTTCTTTCATTAAGTGAATACCTAAAGGCCCCAGAATTGTTTTTGCAGGCGTTTCTACAATTAGGATGTTGGTTGCTTGTCAGTTTAATTTGCGTAAGAAAGGTAATCTAAAAATTCCTGCATGATGCGAAAGATCAACAAGTATAGTTCATTGCAGTCAGCTCGGAATGTGAACTATTTTTAATGATAGGACCAAAATTGCCCAACGATGGTTCCAAAACATCAAGAAAGCAAATGTGAACACCGGATGAAAATAGCCGTTATCAGTACTCTGCTTAATCTAGGTTTGTTACTTCATGTGAAAGAAAACAGTGCATAAATTAAGTAACACCAAACACAAAGGCACGTGCTGCTCGGAGGACATGTCTGTGGTGCATATCATTACCTGTTTTTGTACTGGTGAGTAGATATGTTACCTTGGTGTTTTTTTTGTGATGGGTGTCTGTGCAAGCCATGAGGTATGCAATTCAACTGTTGTCATGATGAATAATTTGTTAGGAATTTTGAGGTAGGATTGCTGTCGTCATGACACAGCTCTCTGGTTGGTTCACATATTATGACCTTTCGACTGTGCGAACACACCTGTTTGTGTCGCCTAGCCATCAGTCCATATCAGCCCAATGCTGTTGACTGCAGAGATATCAAATTATTTCAACCCTGGTATGTCAAGAAAGCAAATATCTGCAATGTGACTTGCCAGTCCATGCCAAGTGTGAATGGCAATGCTGCCCTCAGGTACTGATGCTGCATTGGATGAGGAAGGACAACATAATTCCACAATTTTTGCCACTAACTGTGTAGCATTCAGAGGTCATTTCTGTAGCTTAGCCTATTGTTGCAAGCTGCTCATAAATGCATCAGGGTGGGAGTAGATAGTTTGTTTCTGGGGCGGGGCAAAGTACATGATATGATGCCGGGTGGCCCATCTGATCAGAGTGCGGTAAGTTTGTGAGTGTCATTGGCCAATGCAAGACAATGCTGATTTCCTACTAGCCCTTGCATGTCAGCGAATATTCGGTGTCACAGACTCCAGGTGTATCTTAAATGTCATCCTAAACAACGTTATTCAGAACAACAAGCCATGATTTACATTGCGGAATGGGAAGCAGTAGCCTTGCTTGCACTTGTTGGAGTTCTTGTCATGTATGGACGGTCTAACACATGTTACTTAGACATCATATATGCCATTGCCATAAAACAGCTTATGGTCTTATTTACCAGTTCACTTCCTTGTCATTCTTGATTACCTGTGATTGGAGAAACTGTTTTTAGCATAGATATATGCTGGAATATCTGTAAATCAGTTTTTCCTGTTTTTTTTTGTTGTTGTTGCCAATTTCTGTGATCGTGCTCCTTGCAATGCATAATGCGCCATCCATACGCAGAGTACCGGCTTCCCCTTTTTTTCTTCTTTTTTGTTGTTCAGTTCGCTTCAAAAGCGTAGTTTTCGCCCATAACCCGTTCCTTGATTCGAAGTAAGCGGGATCGAACTATCGACCGTCAATTCGACGTGATGCCGCTCCCGCCCATGTAAACACACCTCTGCGAGAGGTTTAACGTCGCATGATCCGTTCCAATCTTAATTCGAATTACCTTGGGCTGCCCATGTAAACAGTGTAACAGGATCGGCACGACTGCCGCCATACGGAGCGCCGCAAAGCTCGGGGCCGTCGGCCCGGAACGCCGACCGAGCAGCGTCCTTGTGCACCGGGCTGCTCAGGGCCGTGCACCGCGCTGCACGGGACCGTGCACCGCCCAGCGTCCAGCGACGCGTCATTGTCGTCATCGGGGTGTTACGGCGCACTCAGCTGCCGATCCTGTGTGGCGTCGCTTGCCTCCCACCGTGGCAAGAAAGGCGGGCACCGCCCAGCGACGCGCGGTCGCACCGCGTG